GACAGATGGGGAATTTTTAGTCTGTTTAAAATATATACAAGGAAAGCTAGATTTCTGACACTGTCCCATTTGAAAGAGGTCCATTCTTTGCCAAATCTATTTGTCGCAGTGACAGAATTGAGAACAAATGCTGCAAATAAATTAATTGAATTCATAAGTACTACTACTACTAGCATCAATCTTGTAGTGGCAAAGAATTATAACGTAACTAATATTTGATACATGTTTTTGTTCTGAATGGGAACTTTTAACTGTTATAAGAGGCTGCTTTGGTCAAAGGTGAAAAGGGCTTGTGGTTGATGAAAAGAACTATAGATGGTCTTGTAGTAATCTGAAAAAAAAAGCTAACTTATAGTGTTTCCGTAACTGAAATAAACCTATCAAGCTAACTTAGGTTTATTTCAGTTACGGAAACACTATCTGTATTAAGGACATTTTGGTCAGTGTTGGGTTCTTCCTTATTTTTTAGAATAGGGGTAGTCAGATTCTTTTATTATTGGTCGAGGTGAAGACTCCATGGAAAATTAAAACAAACAAGAATGATAAATAAATAAATAAAAAGATTATCAGGGTTTGTTGAAAGATGTCTAGTCCAGATTTGGCCTCAGGCCTACCTATTGACTACCACCTGGTTTAAAACATCCATATGCCTAACAATTAAATCTGATTGATTAGCCACTAGTGATGTATTGAAAATCTGTTGGTGCCCAAAGCAGAGTATTTAATATTGTTGAGCACAGACCAAGCAGTTGGTACTGTGCAACAAAGAAAAACTGTCCAGAGCCCAAAGGATTTTTATTCTAAAATTACAGATGACAATTCAAATTCATAAAATAATTGATTGAGGAGATGAAATCATCTTAAAACAGTGCTATGAGAATACTGACTTCTCAAATAGCACTTCTACTTCTAGTGCTAAGAATCACTTTGATATGAAATCTTCTGTGTTTTAGTGTCAGCCAATAATTGCAAGGAAGTAGTGTGTAAAATACTGCCTCAGCTAATATTAGTATATTTCAAATAATTAAGCCAGTAATGGCTATTGTGCTTTTTTCTCAGTCCTCTTCCACAGTAAAAGATGGAGTCACATGGGTTTGAACTGGTATAAAACACTTTCAGTTGGATTTATCATATTACAGGCAGTCCCCAGGTTACGTGGATCTGACTTGTATCGAATCCCTACTTACAAACGGGGTGAGGCAATCCCGCACTAGCTGCTTCCCCCCCAGCAGGCCAGGGAGATGCGGAGCGGCTTTTCTCAGCAGACACCTCAGCTTGAGAATAAAGGACTGAGGGAAGTGAGGTGTGGGAGAATAAAACTGAGCTCTGGAGAAATGTTTGGCTAGAGTTTCCCCTACAATATGTACCAGTTCCGACTTACATACAAATTCAACTTAAGAACAAACCTACAGTCCCTATCTTGTACATAACCCGGGGACTGCCTGTAGTATATTCTTATTGATCAGAAAGATACCGACAGTGATGCAGCTAGGGCAGGCTTTATTAACATGGCTTGGGCTGATTTAATTAGTTGTCAATTTTTGGAGGAGTAATTTATTTTAAATGTACTAATTAGCTACTAAGAGGTTTGGTTACTTGAGAAGTCTTATAACAAAAGACTTGCAAATGGCATGCTCTAATACAATGGCATTTGGTGGTAGAACCTCTGGGGTTTATCATACCTGTACTTTGTCTATTGTTAAGCTTTTATTCAGAATGCTCTCTTTACATGTATAAAACAAGCTGATATGGTATATGAGCCTCTGCCCCAGATTTTCCAACAGCCTATCTTTAAAATGAACACAATGTCCGTTTTATTAAGTAATTAACAAACACGTGCTTATATAACAATGAAACTTTCTCTGCCTGATTGAGTTAAAATGAAATGTTAATAGACCCGATTTAAGCATTTATATATCAGAAATTGGTTGTTACTCTTCTCCAGTAGTCCCATGGTAGGGAACGCTCAGATTCTTTTTACAATGAGTTTGCATAAAAGCATGGTTCCACACATCTTTCATAATCTCTCACACTGAGTGTGTAGGCTCATCAAAATTTTGAAGAGGCTTTTAAGCCAGTTGTTCGGATTAAGATGGCTAGTGCCATTCGATTGAAGAGAGAGTAAAAGGAGCTATGGGTTTGAAACCTTGAATTACTGTTTTTATATTACACTATCCTAGTGGCACCAAGAATTCCTCCAACCTTACCAGAGTTTTTTTTTCCCTTCTGTTGATTTTTGCCAGTTAGATCACTTGGCTTGTAGGGTTGTCTGGTTTTGTTGCACATCATCAGTCGTGACTTCCACTTGAAGCCAGTTTCTTTGAAACAAGCCATGCTAACTTCTTTTGCTCATTGTATAAATGTGTTTATAGCAGAGGTGAGGAACCTTTTTTGGATCAGGGCACCATTTACCCACAGAAAAATCAGTCAGGATCCATACACAAGTAAGAAAAAACCCAACCCTGTATTGATGGGGGGGCCCCCAACTGAGGGGGAATGTGCAGAGTATCTTTCTCCTCTTACACTGGGGCCTAGGAGAGCCCAGCCTAGTAGACTTTTGTGTGCTCCAGCCCTGTGGTGGGGGCCCTGGAGTGTCAGCATGGGATCCCCAAAGCTGGGGGGAGGCCTTGAGCCTCGGGCCAGATCCAGGCAAGCCAGAGGCTGGATCTGGACCCCAGGCCTTAAGTTCCCCACTCCTGGTTTACAGTCTACCAGTGCAATTGCTAACTTGTCTAATGCGGATTGTAACTATGCTTTTCACTTAAGCCAGTGGTTCTCAAACTTTTTGACCCAGGGCCCACTCCACTCAATGCAAACATTTTCATGGACCACCAATTAATTACACTTGAACCATTTTGCTAGTATTGCAGCAAGGGAGAACTGTTTAATTTAACCAGGAAGAGGGTCAATATTAATCAATTATTAAACAGATTAAGTGTTTTAACTGTCTCACGCTAGTTTACCAAACTTCATTTTAAATAAAGTAAAATATTAATTCATGTCCCACACAAAAGATTTTAACATTGTCTTTGTTTATGGTAGGGATGGGGGTTACTGAGCCACCAAAAAAAAAAATCTGTTGGGGACCACACAACTGTCAAGCGCAAAAACAAAAACCAGAAAACCCCTCCAGCTGAGACACATCACTCCCTGGTGTTCCAGCCTCAGAGGGGGCGGGAGAGACAGGGAGGACTGAGATTCAGGGCTAGATTCACTCTTCTGGGGTTAGTGGATTTTGAGGACCCCCCCTCCCCAGGCTCTTGGGTGGGGCCAAAAATGAGTTCAGTGTGTGGGACGGGACTGTCAGTGAGTGGGATAGGGATGGGGGTACAGGATCTGGGTGGGAGGTGGAGTGTAGGAGGAGGTAGGGTGTAGGAGTAGGCTGGGAATAGGACAGAAGGAAGAAAGGGTGCCGTGTATAGTCAGGAGGGAAGGTGGAAGAGCAAAGAGGGGTGTAGAGTCAGGTCGGGGAGAGGGTGCAGCAGGAGGCTGGGGGTGGGTAGGATGTCTGGCTGGGGGGAGGGTGCAGGAATGGGCTGGGGGCATGGGGTGGTGGCAGGCGGGTGAGGGTGCAGGGTCTGGCTATGACAGGAAGTGGGGAGGGCACTTAACTGCCTTTGCATCCCTCTCTGCACCCAGGCTCCATGTCATAGGTATGGCCTCCCACTGCTCCCATTGGCTGGATTCTGGTCAATGGGAGCAGGGGGAAAGCCTCCAGACAGCGCATCTGTGCACTGATGTTCCCCCAGCTGGAGAGGGGGAGTGACAACACAAGGAGCTGCATCTGACTCTGCTTCTTCCCTGTGAGCTGGATCTGGCAGGAGGGCTCAGGGCTTTCTCTCTACCCTCAGTGGGAAACTGGTGCTGACATACTGGCACTGACACTTCAGCCTTACAGGGGAGGAGGTCATGTGAGGCTGGAGCATTAGTGTAGGCTCCCCACTGTGGCGGGGAGGGGAGAAAGAAGGGGAGACTGAGTGCAGTCACTACCCACCTGCAAAGCATAGTGGTCTGTGGACCACAGCTTTGAGAACCGCTGATTTAAACTAAATTGTATGTACCGACTTTGTGGAAGAAACAAACTATTGGAGGCCGTCTGTAGAGGTTATTCCATTCAAATTACATTATTTGGTTTTAAGAAACTTAATTCCTTTTAAACCATATCAGTGCTTAGAGTTAGTGTGATTGCTCAGTGTGTGTGATCTTTTAGAAAGTCTGTGTATTGCATTATATGGCTTGTATTAAATAACACTGACATGGGATGGCTGCCATAAGAAACACAGAATCCAGGAGATGAGTTGTGTTGAGCTCTGTGAAGTTTGTCTTTAATCTTTAAAATGTTGGCTCATGTTTAAGTGTCTTGTACACTGAGGACCAACCTATGTCTGGAGAGGGCTAAGGAAGCTGAGGTAGAAGAGGTATCTGTGACCGCTGAAGCAGAGGTGAATAAGGACTCTTGGCTGGAGTTCTGAGACCCTGCTGGGAATGACTACCTGAATTCTGCCTCCTTTAATTGCTGGTAATTGACCACTCCTTCAATCTGGAGTAAGCAAGCAGGAGGTAGTAAACATCAAGCTACAGGTAGCAGGAAGCTGGTATAAACATCACGCTACCTGGGATTTTTGTGAAGCAATGGGACACATGTCCACAAGGAGGTGGACTGCAAATGTGAGGCTACCAGTCTGGTGCGGGTAGGATCTCCTGGTGCTCAGTGGAACTGGGAAGGCCTCAGGAGGCAACAGGGCTTGCTTGAGGGATGGGAGGAAGCAGGGGAGGACACCTATCTTCTGCTGGTGAACAGCAAACAAGGGGTGGGGTGTAAGTATTACTTTTCAACCCACTGCCCCAGTTTAGAAAGATGCCTTAAAGAATACTTGACTAAGAATTGACCACATTAAATGTTAACAGGTTGGTTATTGTGTTAGGGGAAGGGAGAATGATTTAAGATTTTATGTAATAGACCTGCCTTCTCAAACAGGATATCTGGGTTGTCTTTGCAGGTGTTCCGAAAGGATCTCATTAGTGCCATGAAACTCCCAGACTCTCACCATGTTAACCCTGATGAATATTACATTTTTGCGGACACATGGAAACAAGAATGGGAAAAGGGTGTTCAGGTCCCAGCCAGTCCCGACACTATTCCACAGCCTTCTCTCAGGTAATTAGTCTTTAACATTTGATGTGCCCGGAACTGGACAAAACATAACATGAGTCACTGTCTCAAAGGATTTACATTTTAATTGCAGCTAACACTTGCTCACTTAGTATACTTAAACCTGTGGTGCAACTGCCTCGCCGGTATGAAAATCTTTTAAAAATAAAATATTATCAATTTGGAGACATCAGTGGTACTTAGTATGAAAATCTTTTTAAAAATAAAATATCAATTTGGAGACATCAGTGGTACTTGGGACTGAGAGAATAGACATGTCACAACTAAAGGCAGAAAGTAAACGTTCACTACTCAGAACTAGGATAAACTTTAAAAAAAACCCAAAGAAATGCTTTATTTGAACAGTTGGTGCACTGCGTAAAATGGTCATCTTACTTAACTGTGATCAATCAAATCCAATTCCGGATAGAAAACAGGCTCTCTGTAGTATTGGTTATATTACATAAATCCACCCATAAAACAGGAAAACATTCATTGTAATAATGCAGCAAACATTTAATCCACATCAGACAAGATTTACTCTCTAGCAGTAACTGATGTCTGTCAAAGCTTCAGAGAAAGGTAAGAACTTCCCAGAATCCTTTGAGGGGCATAAGCCTCCTTCCTAGCCACGTCCAGTAACCTGTTTCTGCCATGACATAAGAGGGTGAGAACTTTAACTATAATAAATATATAGATGGAAATGTTCATTCTCCTGTCTCTATAGTAAGTGTAAACTCAAGTGGTATTTTCTAGTCTAAGGCCCTTGACCCTGCAATTGGTGATGCATGGGTGGACATCTGTGTACTGCAAAGCCTCTTTGACCTTGGTGCTTACATAATTCCAGTCTTCAAGGTTGTTAATTTGTGCTCTTCTCCCAGAAGGTCTCTAACAATTTTGAAGGGAAATGTGATGGACTACCAGTATTTCTCTTGTTTAGAACGCTGACACTATAGTCCACTCTCAAGCAGAAAGTCTTAACCTGTGTGTCTCAGCCTAGCTATATTTACAGGGTGATGCCAACAGCCCTTGCAGTCTCAAGTCTCTCCAAATCCATCCTCCTTGAGTTCGTAAGAACCAGACAGTCGAACTGGTTTGTAACCCCCAAAGGCATGACACCAGATATCAGAAGAGTTTGGCATGCACACTCTGTACAGTTTGCACACCAGAAACCTGCTTGTGCTAAAAATATACCAAGTTTACTTAATAGGAAACCTCCACACACCAGTTTAAAGATTAAAACAATATGGGGAAAGGGAATATGTACAAGGTAGACAGGAAATAAAGATGCAACCTGAGGCTTTACTCTTCCATTTTAGATAAAATGTCCTTTCCAATACAAGTATCACCTTTTAACCGCTTCCCAGCATATCCTCCAGCTATGGGGTGGAATCCAGTGTTCACAGATAGCCTCCTACTATGACTATCCCTCAGTCTCTGGACAAAAAACATCCCATCCCCAGCCTGCTTTTAAAAGGTGCTTTCTTTTCTTTCTCTGACCATGGTGATGACTCCATAGTAAAGGTTAAGATTTTGTCAGGGTTATTTCTAGGGGAAAAAGTCCTTCATAGGATATGGGTAATAAACAAGAGTTAATAGATGTGGTGGTCCCCCATCACAGGGGTAGAGTAAAACCATAGCGCCCCTCCTGCATCCCCTCAGTCATAGAGGACGTAGAAAATAATAGAATCTGTGACCTCCATGACAATTTGTAGCCTTACTCGTGCTTATTCAGGGTGTGGAAATCCCCTTTTGATTTGGTATGCTGGGGATGGGATGTTTGAGTGTCTTCTAATGGTCTATCATTTGCATTTTTCTAGTCTGGACACGGATGGTTACTTGAAGCTTGTTCCTTGTAAACAGCTGGTTTAGGAAGGGCCCCAACCTGCTTGACTGCTCACTTCCCTGCTGTGAAGTATAGTTGAGGTTGAAGCTTCCCTTCAAATGCCAAACAAAAGTCAATTGACAAGGGCCAATTATCTGCTAAATTATTGGCCAGGAATATAATTTTTATGAAGATTTTAATCTGGTTTAGAAGGAGGCTTGAATAAAGGTGCATGGAACTTTATGTACATAACATCTTCTGCAACTTCATAAACAATTCTAAAATGGTCCAGTTGAAAACATATTCTTGTTAAATTAATTACAATTAAATTAAATTAAAATTAATGTTCATTCAAATTAAATAAAGACCATTATAATTTAGAAAACTATTCTGGAATAAAACTTTTTTTTTCTTCAGGGACTTTTCATGTATGGAAGAAACATTTACACAATAGTCTGATCAAATTATGTGATCTAAAGACTTTCTGATAACCAGCCCTCTAGTTCACTGAGTCTGGGCTCAATCAGTAGAAGCCACAAATCCACTTGGCAGCTACTGTACTTAACAGAGTTCCTGAACAGATCTTTTCATTGGAAAAACACCACCCTTGTGCTCTTGTCAGTCATTGGGACAGTGGAAATTAGTAAAAACTGAAGGCATTTTGCACCTGATAGCAGACACTTAAAAATCTTGTAGCAATGGGACCTAACTAAAGAACTGTAGCTAACCATGCCATTTTTCTTAATTTTTATGTTTAGGGTTGTAGCAGAAAAGGTGAAGGAAGTACTGTATACACGACCTAGGAAGTACATCCATTGTTCCAGCCAAGAGCCCACAGAACCTGGTTACATCAATATTCTAGAACTGGCAGAATCTGTGTGTCGCTATGACTTGGATGACATGGATATCTTTTGGCTTCAAGAATTAAATGAGGAGCTTACAGAAATGGGTAATTTTTACAATACAATTTGGTGTGACAGACCCAGACTAGCTGGGTGCCATGCACTACTGCAGGGAAGACATGCTTAGGTCATGGGCTTTCCTTTACTCAGGAAAAGAAAGCAGTTGACCTGACTGCAGCATAATCAGGCAGGCACTTGGTGTCAATTGTAGCTTGCTGGAAGCTACAGGATGATTAATCATCTGCAGCTAAGTAAGGCCTGTGGTGCTGCTCTAAAAGGTCTACCCCAGGCAAGGAAGGGGGAAGGAAAAGAGCGAAGGACAGGAAGGTGGAAGTTTTGTGTGCAGGAGCTGTGTGGGTGTGAGCAGAGGACTGTCGAGAAGGTACTAAAGAAAAGGTACTGGGAGGGATTGTTTGGGGAAGTGGCGTAGGAAAAATCTGTCAGATTGAGAGCGGCAGTGACCCTGCTTGTTGCCGCTGCCTTTAAGGTCCCCGGGCTAGAACCCAGAGTAGTTGGGGGAGGAGGGATTCCCTCCAACCTCTGCCTCGAGAAGCAAGATCAGGACCCCAAACTTATGAACTGCTCAGTAGGCTGTGGCTCCTGCCTCTAGTAAAGAGAAGGGGTACCACATTTGAACATTCAAAAAAGAGGACACTCCTAAGAGGGAGTGTATCAGTATCTACCAACTCACGTTGTATTAATGTGTTTTATTTATATACTATAAATAACACATTAATACAACGTGAGCATGTACAATGAGTAACCGAATATACAACGTTCGTCTATAGTATACTGTGTACATGTCCTCTACATTGAGTATCTATTAAATAAGAACTAGAGTTAAGGCCTCAAAAGTCAGACCCATCGCAGCCTGGGCACCCTGGCAGCTCTTACCAAGCCCAGCTCTGGCTTCCAGCCTCATTCTCCTCCAACCCCATAATCCCCCTGTAGCACCCCATCCCCCCCACAGTGCAACCCCTGCCACCACCACCCCCAAATCTGTGTGGCCCCAGCACACTCGCTGGGAGTCACAGCCTCACCCCCAGGGTGCTGAGGCTGGGGGAATGGCCTGCCCTGCCTGGCCCGGCCCTTCGCCCAGGGCTCACCTCTCACCTGCGGTGCAGCCCAGAGGCTGGTGCCCCACAGTGGTGGTAGCAGCAGCGTGTGACTGGCTGCTGTACCCCATCTGTGGAGCAGCCCCACCCCTTCCCAGAGTAGAAGGCAGAGGCTGTATGGGGGAGGGGGAGTTAACCCCTTCGCTCTTGGGAGCTTCATACCCAGGCCGGCACGGGTAGCCCCAGGGATGCTGGGCCCAGTGCAGGAGCCAGTGACTCCCCACTTCAGGTGTTGCTGCGGGGTGGGCAAGGCTGGAGGCTGTGTCTCTCCCACTTGCACCCTGGGGTGGGGCTGCCCGGTCACATGCTGCTACCACCTCTGTGGGGCACTGTGGTCCAACCGCAGCCAGACTGTGCCCAGGACAGGCAGCGTGCAGAGCCGGGTATGTGGTGCCAGCTGCACCCAGCATTCCAGCCCCTGCCCTCCTGCACCTGCACACAGAGTGAGGGCAGTAGCCTCAGTCACTGCACATGCTCCCTCTCTGCGGCCCCTGCGCCTCGTGCCCTAACGAGCAAACTCTTGACACCAGCTGCTCGTATTGTTACGGCCCGGTGTGTACGGGCCGGAGGAGCTATTTAGGGGTCAAATTTAATTGAAAAGCAATGAGCAGAGCAAAATTCCGGACATTTTTAGATTCTTAAACCCAGCCAGCCGGAGATTTAAGGACCAAAAAGGAGGACAGGTCTAGGGGAAAAAACAGATGTATGGTAACCCTTAGGTCTAGGGAAAAAACAGATGTATGGTAACCCTAGAAAGAGGCCATGTGGAGGGCCACAATGAGCCTCTGAGGCTAACGTTGTCGGCCAGTAGCGTGAGATCCACTGGGAATAGCTGGAGCTCTGCCATATTGGTTGTTTAAAAAATTGAGTTGGGAGTTTAATAAGTGGTCTTGTACAGATGAGTTTTAGAAGAAAAATGTTAGGAAAAAATGTTGACACTGTCAAAGTGTTTATAGCAGTCATTTGCAATATTAGCTTAAGTTAAAAGTTACAAATTACGTTTGTTGTTTTTCCTCATAAGCTTCATGATTATGTACAGCTTTTGTAGACTCAAAACAAATGTTGAGTAGGCTAGACCTAATTTTTTTTTTTCGTTCCTAAAACTTGAAATTCCTCTTGAACATGCAAGCTTTTCTCTTGTACACCTTCTTATAAATATGCACAGTATTGCTACCAAGTGTGGACTTACAGTTTGACTTTGAGGAAGACTCTTTGACAGTCTCTGCCTCTTGGAGCTCCTGCCTCTAAATACCCAATAATCAGGATGTTGTGACTGATCTTAGCATGGCAGATCCTTTTAAAGGAAGCTTCTGTTACAGTGGATTTACGTTAATCAGAGTGAAGTGTGTGTTTAAGGTAGAATTTGAATGAAGGTAGGGTAATATGAACAAACCTCAGATAATGTTAATCACTGCTTGATAGCATATTTACCATTTTATTAAAAATGAATTTTTCACTGCCATCATCCTAATTGCTCTGGTACTGCATTATATGTGTTGATTTTATAATAATTTGTGGCATTTTGTAGCAATATATGATTTCCTAGATAAAAAAATTACTCTTGAGACTTTTTAAAAAAAAAATCACATTGTACCTTATGGCATTCAGGCTGTTTCTCTTCTGTGTGTTGCTTAAGTTGTGGTCCATAAAGTTACCATTGTTTAGTTTTTTACTCCAACATTTTTTTTATTGTTAGCCAGTAAACTTTATTAAACCAAATATAGCCAATGGAGAATAAACATTTTGTAAATGAACTTTTTTCATCAGGATTTACATAAAGATGAAAAAGTGGGCTCTGTTTCGGCTCTGTTTCTTTTAGTTGATAGAAGTGTATTTCTTTTGTTTTCTTGTAACTTGTCTTTACTTATAGATTGTATGTATTCTAATCCCTTCCCCTCTTGCAGGTTGTGGGACCCTTGATGAAAATACAATGGAGAAGACTGTAGAAGTCCTGGAACGGCAGTGTCATGAGAATATGAACCATGCCATTGAGACTGAGGAAGGGCTGGGCATAGAATACGATGAAAATGTGATCTGTGATGTGTGCCGGTCCCCTGATAGTGAAGATGGGAATGATATGGTGTTTTGTGACAAGTGTAATGTTTGTGTCCATCAGGTTTGTGTTGGAAGAGATGTTTAAATTGTTTTTGCTGGTGGGTGTGTAATTTGAGCTAGCTTTAAATAGAACTTTGGAGGGCTTTTTAAGATCTTCTAAACATGGAGACTGCTACTGCTTGAAGGTAGACTTCTGTGCTTCTACAAATAGACTTGATTATTCTGTCTAGCACAGTGGCTATTATAGTGATATGGTGTGAGGATAGAGGGAATAGAGGTCTAATCCTAGTTCTGTCAGGCACTTTTCTGTGGCCCAGTGCAAATTATTTCCCCATCTTTAAAGCTGAGATACTTGCCTGCTTCCCAGGGATATTGTAAGGATGAATTAGTATTTTAAGGTGCTCTGAAGGTAGAAAGATGCTAAGCACTGCAGACCTTTGTTAAAAAACAGACAAGTCTTCCATTCTGATTTGGCCAGTTAATGGGAGCCAGAACATAACTGCCCTAAAACAAGGCATCTAAAGCCCAATTTAGGCGCTTAAGGCCATGTCTGTACTTACCACACGAATCTGAGTTCGATTTTCTGGCAATTTGATGTAGCAGGTCTAAATTAAGACTTGCTATGTTGAATGCTGAGAGCGATTCTGGCCAGCACACAGGTACTTCTGTCAGTTGCGAGGAGCAGGGGAAGCTGATGGGAGCGTTTGCTCCTGTTGGCATCTGAGTGATGGCACCAAACCCTGAGTGATGCAGTTTGACCAACCTAACCCCCAGTGTAGACAGTGCTAGATTTAAAGGGAGAGCTTCTCCAGCAAACATAGCTACCGGCCCTCTGGGAGGTGGCTTAACACTGATGCTGTTCCACTATTGTAGTAGTGTCTTCACTCAAGCTCTGCAGCTGTGCCACTGTGGTAATTCTTAAGCATAGACACCATACCTGCTCCTCCCTGCTCAGACCCATTGATGGGCCTATCCTCCAAGAACTTACCTAATTCTTTCTTTGAATCCTGTTAGTCTTGTCCTTCACTACATCCTCTGGCAAAGAGTTCCAGAGATTAGCTCAGTGTTGTGTAAAGAAATATTTCTTCTTGGTGTTTTTTTAAACCTGCTGCCTATTAATTTCGTTTGGTTGCCCCTAGTTCTTTGCTGTTTACTCCTCCTTATAACCCTTTCCACAGTAGTCATGATTTTATAGGCCTATCACATTTCCCCCGTTAGTCATCCCTTTTCCAAGCTGAAGTCCCAGTCTTCTTTCTCTCTCCTCATATGAAAGCTTTTCCATATCTGTAATTATTGCCTTTTTAAGCTGGAATTGAAAAGGGTAAAGTAAAATATTACATAAAACGAGATGCTGACTTGCTACATCATTACTTAGGGAAGAGCTCCCTCTGTTGAGGTTTTTTAAAAGTACTGTTAAATTCTTCGGCTTTGACTTAAATTAGTTTAGTCTGTATAAGTATTCTGACAGGCTCAAAATTAACCTTTGTCAGCTCCCCATCCACCATGGGCACGGAGCTACTCTAGCCCCGTGGGGCCCGTCATGGGCAGGGGTGTTCCAGCACTGCCAGAGCAGTGCCCACCCCTTTGGGTGGCTGCTCAGGAGATTCAGGTGCCACCAGCTGAATAGCCAAGTGCCCACAGTTGGCAGTATGTTTCTATTGCTGGTGCACGTTTTCAGATAAAATTTATTTTGCACGTGGATGGAAAAAATTAAATGGAACACCGCTGGTGGTCTGTCTACAAGTAATGCTTTCGACATTGCTATCTCTGAGGCAGGAATGATAGGAAACTTTTGACCCACATCTGTAATAAACAGGGCCTGAGAGTAGTCACGTGGAATTAGACAGTTGTGAAATCTAGTAGTGTGAGACCTACGGCATATTTGTATATTAAAAAACGAGCATCTAGATCAATTCCACTTCTTAAACTTTGTGAAGCATGCATTCCTCAGAGTTGGAGGTGGGAAATGGTGGACCCGGAGAAGAGTGTACCCCACAGATCTAGGATGTTTCCACAGTTTTTGTTGCGCTCTGCAATACTTCTGTTTAAAAAAACAAAACAAAACTGTAGTTAGTAGTGTACAGCCAACACAGTTATGCACTATTTTTGTTGCGCTCTGAAATACTTCTACTAACTACATTTTTTTTTTAAATAGTGTACAGCCAACACAGTTATGCACTTCAGTGGTAATCAAAACTGACAGAGAAAAGTTACTAGCCAAATAGCTACAGCGGAGATGGGTCAGGGAGGGAAGGGAGAAATCCTAAGTGACCTCCAAAACATAGATCTGGAAGCATTTTAAATGGTGGTATTAATCTCTCACATAATTGCTGCATGTAACTTAAAAAAATGCATGTAACTTAAAAAAAACCCCAAACCTAATTTTGATTTAAGTTCTAGTTGGGATGTCTGGTGTGTTTTGTTTTATTTATTTATTTATTTACACATAATTGCTATTTATGCATGTAATTTAAATCAAAATTAGGGTTGGTTTTTTTTTTTTGTAAGTTCTAGTTGGGATGTGTGGTGTGTTTTTATTTATTTATTTTATTTTAAGGATAGTTTAACTGTTAAAAATCCTAGTGGTTACTCGTACTGTGAGCTCTGCAATATGAGACTTCCACAGCTGAGTCTACAGTGCAGCTGGCTCCCCGGGAGCTGGGCTAGGAGCCGGTGCACATAAGCCAGCTCCCAGCCCTGCTCCCAGGAAGATGCCCACAGTACAGAGCAGCATCTGGCTTCCCAAGAGCAGGGCTGGCAGCCAGCACAAACCGGTCAAGTGTAATTGTAATGGAACCGAATAATCTGATGCTTATCTGTTGACCATTTAAACTGTTACTTATCCCTAATTTCTAGAGCTACTTTGGGGATCCTTCAGTGTATAGTTTACCATATATTTTGCAAAAAAGAGAAAATAATTTGTTGAAATAACTTTTTCATCCCCTGACTATTTTAACTGTGTTTGTAGCTTTTTATAGAGAGATTATCCGAGAGAGCACAGCATCCAACTTTCACTGGCTTTTCATGGTAGTTGGGTTCCCAACTGCTCTTTTCCTCTGAAAGCCACTCACTCCATTACAATTCATATTTGTGTATAATGTTTCCATTCTAGAAACACTGTGTTCTGGTCTATGTGTTTTGATGAGAAGGCATTACTTGCATCCATCACTAAGTGGTGTGTTTTGGGTAAGATTTGTAGAGTAATTTTTAAAAATGATGATCATTGATGTAGGCCTCTGATATTGTCTCACTTATATGCTGATACAGAGAGAATTTTCCTTTGTCCCAAGGCATGTTATGGAATCTTAAAGGTTCCCGAAGGCAGCTGGTTGTGTCGCACTTGTGTTCTGGGAATACATCCTCAGTGTCTCTTGTGCCCAAAGAGAGGGGGTGCCATGAAAGCTACTAGGACAGGGACCAAGTGGGCACATGTGAGCTGTGCCCTCTGGATTCCAGAGGTAAAACTAATTTATGTTCCTTTTATTACACATTCTCTTCCTCATCATTATTCTTACCCCTTATTTTGCCCCATCTTAATGTTTACTTAAGAGGATAATGCTTTAGTACTATATATTATTCTGGTAAGGTTTGTATGATTTAGAAAAATTGGACAATCCAACTCATATACTGCTAAGAATAAGCGGCGAGGAGTCCTGTGGCACCTTATAGACTAACTGAAGTGTAGGAGCATAAGCTTTCGTGGGCCCTTACTTTTATGTAGCCATGTTATAGGCATCTGATTGACTTCTAAGAAAGCATTACTTACTCATGGGGGAATTCTGCACAAAAAACACTCCACATTTTGCAGCTCACTGGTTTCATTTATTTTGGTAATTTATTTAAACTACCATACAGGAAAAAAATCACAATAACTGTTCAGCATTTCCTAAACACATGAAAGTTAGTTACAAATACTTGGTTGGTTGGATTCATAACCATAGTGCCTCCTGCTGGTCAGTCTGAGAATTAGCTCAGTTTGTCAGCAGGGCACTGCCCAGTGACCGATGTTTCGCCCGTTTCCACTCTTCTGCCTCCACCCTCTTGACTCTAAACCTGTGTTGCTCCCTTCGTCTGTGGCATCCAGTTCAGGACACTGCCTTTCAGCCCCCTTTGAGGGGTATCAACAGTCCTCAATCCAGGTACCTGTTGTGGCCAATTTCAGCACCAAAGACTAGCCCCTTGCCTCACTGGCTAGCCACAGTCTATACTGGCTATACTGGTGTAGTGCAAAGGTGGTGCTAGGGGGGACCCAGGCCACCCACTACTCTGGGTCCCAACCCAGGGGCCCTCTGGCGGCAGCTAAGTCCTGCCCTCCTTCACTCCCCTTGTCTGCCGATGTTCCCTGGGCCACTTCCCCATAGCCCTTGCACTTTCTTGGCCCTTTTTAGCAGGGGCCACAGTCTAGTATGTACCAAGCTGGAGATTCATTCTCCCTGTCCCTGTCCCTGTCCCTGTCTTTTCTTGGCCCTTTTTAGCAGGGGCCACAGCCTAGTATGTACCAAGCTGGAGATTCTCTCTCTCTCTCTTTCTCTCTCTCTCTCTGCTCCCCTGTTCCTATCTAGCACTGCCTTGCCCAAGCTGCTTCTCCTTTCTTGGTCAGGGCCCAACTCCCAGTCTGAGCACTGCCTTGCCCAAGCAGCTTCTCCTTTCTTGGTCAGGGCCCAACTCCCAGTCTGCTCTGCTGAGCTGCTCCTTATATCCGGATGGCCCAGCAAGTTGCCTCCTGGTTGGCTCTTCACAAGAGCTTCATTGGTTGGGTCTGCACACGCTCTTTCCATCCTACTTCAACCTCTCCTTCAAAGTTGCGCAGTCACCCCATTACATCACAGAGCACCAAACACCAAGAAGTAGAAAGTTGCTTTACTTTGCTCAGACTTCCACACACAAAAAAAAGTCATACGGTTTTGCTAATTCTTGTCCTGCACGTTTTATAAATATAAGTACAGCTCAAGATCTGTTTTAATCTAATCTTCTTGTGCCTTTCTGGCACAAGGAAAAAGAAAAAGCCAATAAGCGCACAAACTTTCCTAGCTGAGGATTCAGTGATTATTTTTATAAATATAAGTAAAACAGATCTTGAGCTGTAATCTAATCTTCTTGTGCCTTTCTGGCACAAGGAAAAAGAAAAAGCCAATAAGCGCACAAACTTTCCTAGCTGAGGATTCAGTGATTATCATTCATAATAATTATGCTCCTTTATGCTACCCTGGCACGGTAAAGGAGCTTTAATTGACTAAGAATGAGAACAATTAATCAAGAGCCTGCCTTTTTAGTTGTCCCAATTCTGCTTTGATTCAAGGACAGAGCTTGCTACACACAACCCTAGGCCTCGAAGCCCAGGATGGAGCAAGTTGAAGAGAGGGATAGAGTGAGGGCATGTGTTCACCACAAGCTGGGTCGATGAGCAGTGGTGGATCCAGCAGCAGTTGATTTAGCATGTCTAGGATAGATATGATATATCAACTGCCAAATGCTCTCCGGTCAACTCTGGTACTCCACCAGAATGAAAAGAATAAGCAGCGTCAACTGGACAGTGTCAGCTGTTGACTTACTGCTGTGAAGACACCATAGTTAGCAGATCGAAGTATGTAGACTTCAGATGTTGTTAATGTAGCTGAAGTTGCATATCTTAGGTCAACAGCTTTTGGTAGTGTGGACGAGGCCTGAGTGTCTGTCTCTCTCTCTCATTCGTATGCAGTCAGGTGCCCAACCCCACCGTCTTAACTCTCTCTGTGGACAAGTTCACACCCAGCCTCCAGTGTTCCCTTTAAGTTGTGAGCTCCTATGGTTGCTCAGGAGAGATTCAAATGCTGTCCAGCTGATTTAGCAGAGTGCCCAAAGCTACCTTTTTGTTTCTATTGGTCATGCACATTTGCATATGCCTTGGTGCACATAGAAAATTTTATTCCATACATGGATGAAAAAGATTAGAAGGAACATTGCCTGCCTCCCTTCACTTCACCCCCTGTGGTGATCTGCTCTTTGCTGCTACCTGCTCCTGACAGATGTGCCCAAGCTGCTGCAGAATCTGCATGTGTTCCTCACAGATTTCTTTGCTCCCACATGTTTCTTCAGGGTAGCCAAGAAATCTGCTGAAGGTATGAATTCTATGCCTTGTGAATTCCCCTAGGAGTAATACTGATGCAAGCTATTAGTTCATGAGATGCCAGTACAATTTATAGACAGTTATTACTTAGTTTTCCTTCCTTTTTTTCTTACACACTTATTTCCTGATAAAATAATAAACTATGCATCCTCAATGTCATGTGAAGCTACAGAGCAACTGTTCTCATTGAGTGATTTGAATTTCTTTGCTCTTTGTAATCTTTTAATAGTTGCTGTGTACTTTACCTGGTTTCACAAAGCTGCATTGTAACAATGATCTGAAAAAAAGGAAATATTGAAATCAATGCAGTGTATATATGAATTCTTTCAGTGCACTAGTCAGTAATTTTTAATTTCCTGTTAATGTAATTGTCTGTGAATTTCTATGTTGGTTAAAGAATGTAATCAATGCTAAAGTAGCTTTACTAATTCAGAATCAGTATGTAGTAATGTTTTATCTTTCCAATTAGCATCTTTCAAAGTATCCTAAATGTCTTCAGAAGAAAATTAGAAGATTTATAAAATGGATGATAGTCAAAAATCTATGTAAAGAGATGGATTATAAGTCAGGAATGTCAGTAAAATGCAGGAATATAGATTTATGTAATTGTACTGAGAAGGGAATGACCCAAAAATTGTGGTGATGGAAAAGTGAGCCCAGATGAATATTGAGCTCTGTGTATGTTCCCATCTGCTGGACTCTGCAGAGCCCCACACTCTAAACCAGGACTATTCAACTTTGGAAGCCCCAGGGGCCACAATGATACTTATGGCACATGCCGAGGGCCATAACTTTAAGTGTGGTGCATATACATGCAAATATATATATGTAAATAGCTTCTTTCACACTTACGGGGTGTGAATACAAAGATTAAGGCAAGACTACAGAATGCACAGGCCCCATTTAAGTCAATCCTGCTATTAATAAAATGCAATATTTACCTTATTTCCACCCATATGACAGCACTTTTGTAAAACATATTGACAGAAGACCATTATATTGACTGCTTTTTTGTTTTGGCTCCCACCCATGGGCTGCGTTTTGAGCCTCATGTAAACCCAAACCAGCCGTGGGCCACATGTGGTCCGTGGGCCGTGTGTTGAGAAGCCCTGCTCTAAACTCCATCAAGTCTTCGCGTTCCGTTACTGTGTCTAAGATTCCTTTGCCAGTTTAACAGATGCTGTAGCAATGTTGTTTGATTATACTTGGAAACAGGAACTCTGAGATTCCGTCAATGTGGTTGTTTTTTTCTTACTAATTTACTAAAAGATAAGATTTTTTTTTTTAATTGTCCTCATAAATGCTTCCTCCACTATTTTTGTTTGCAGGTTAGCATTGCTTGCCCAGAAAGGATGGAACCAATCACAAAAGTGTCTCACATTCCACCAAGTCGATGGGCTTTAGTCTGTAGCTTATGCAAACTTAAAACTGGTGCTTGCATTCAGGTATGTACTAGTTCTGCAGTGGCTTCCATCTGACTGAGCATGAAAACTAGAATTTGGATTTAAAAAGCATTTTTCATATCCATAGTGCTTCATAATGGCAGTGACTCTTTCCAAATATGGCAGATGACATGTTCTTAGCAATAGCTTAGAATCATAGAACTGGAAGAGACCTCAGAAGGTCATCAAGTCCAGCCCCTTGCTCTAGGCAGGACCAATTTCAACTAAATCAACCCGGCTAGGGCTTTGTCAAGCCGAGACTTAAACACCTCTAGGGGTGGAGACTCCACTACTTCCCTAGGTAACCCATTCCAGTGCTTCACCACCCTCCTAGTGAAATAGTTTTTTCTAATATCCAACCTGGACCTCTCCCACCACAACATGAGACCATTGCTCCTTGTTCTGCCATCTGTCACTACTGAGAACAGCCTTTCTCCATCCCTGGGGAAACTCCCTTCAGGAAGTTGAAGGCTGCTATCAAATCCCCGCTCACTCTTCGCTTCTG